AGAATAGGGCATTCTAAGTCAATATACTGCAGTATTTCCTCTCTCAATCAGTAGAAAATATGGTTAACACCCGGTCATGCATGAAAAAAAAATACCGTCATGTACTGTGAAACCGGTATAATTTTGAAAAATACCGTGATATACATTTTTGGTCATACCGCCCAGCACTTGTTAAGTAAAAAGGTTAGGAAACACTGGTCATCTTGAAGGATAGACATTGGAATAGCATAAAACTAGCATACTTCTGCCATTAAATGATACATGTGAGTAGCTTTCAGGCCTCATTTTAGAAATAAAATTATTATTTGTTCTTTTTTTAAACCAGTTCTGTAAAAATAAATAAATACATTTAGTAAGAACTTATGAAGTCTCTTATCATATGATGCTTTTTTAAAGATCATTATTTTGTGTATTTGGTGAGTCAGAATTACCTCCTCTCCTAGGTTCATGAAACGGTCGTCCATAAAATGCATTGCTGTTCTGTTGTAAGTGATCTTAAAGATTCCTAAATGCATCTACTTTCGGAAGGCCAAATAAAGTGCTTTTGCTTTCGCCTAGAAACACACAGCGTCTCCCTGACATGCTGCTTCAACACTAACTGCGGTTACTGAAACCACGCCTTCTTTCTTTGCGTGCACATTTGGGCGCATTATGCAAATATTCCCACATAGTGACCTAGATATGTGGGGGCGTGTTAGAACGAGCAGTTTTAGGGGGGCGTGGCAGAGTCTTAACTTTGATAAAGAATATCTCTTTGGGTTTGAGGCTTAATTCTGTGTTATTGCTCACTTATCAATATTAATGGTCTGCTAAGCTTATTATCTATCAAATGTTTTAATTAGAACGGAAACCAAACTAAATCAATCATTGGTGATATTAGATAGCATATCATCTTTGAAAGGCATGCGGATTTACAACATAAATATGGGCTTTGCAAATAAATTGGCATGGTACAAATAAATCAGTCAGTCTAATTAGGCTCCTCTTGTGATGGTCTGACACTGAGAGGAGCTCTAGAATAGGGCTGCATTACTGCGCTCTCATGTAAAGAAGAGGCCTCAGAGGCTCATGTTATCTTATGTCACTCCAAGACCTGCTATAGAGAAAGCCAGACACGTCCAGTTTCACAATGCTGAAGGAGTGGATGTCGAGCTACCATGTCCTTCATAATAATATTAATTATATTACTTCTTGTTTGATTATTAATCAAGTTATTGATCAGCATTTAACCTCCTAGAATGTTTGATGATTGAATCAAGTTATTAGTTGCCATCTATATTAATAAATATATAGATAGAACGTGTGTAGTCTTCCATTGTAGCAATAATGGAATGTGTAACAGTATTCCTTTACATGCTGAGATCTATTCATTTCCTAGTCACAGGGCCATGTCAGGAGGTCAGGGTGACCTCCCATCTACGTGAACGACGAGTGATCAAAACAGCTGCGATATTGATGTATCTGCATAATATAGATATTAAAGAATCCTGCTTTATTCTGTATTTTTACTCTCTAAGAAGCTGCTCTCTTTGTGTGTGTGCAGTGAACCATATTTGTTAAGATTCAGGGCAGAGCCCGGCAACCTTGAAGTACAGATAAGTGTTCTCTGCGTATGTGTGAGAGTGTTTGTCTTTGCAGCTAGATGCGGAGACAGCCCTAGGAGGAAAACGTAATTTGCCGTCACTCTGATATCCAGGGTATCTAATATACGTCTCTGGAAAGACCTATTGCATCTGACCTCTGATCACTTGTCACCAAAATAATCACTAGAAGATATGCTTCAAGTTTTACGTCCATGTGTGGAGATTTTATCTATGTTTCGACCAACCAGAATCTTGCTTACCTATGTACTGACGTAATCAGTGACCTCTGTTAGAGTATAATTACTGGTGTTTCGAGCATGTAAGCAGAGCGGCCTACGAACTCCATTGCGAGTATTGAAGCTGACTTCTGCTGATGAAACTGCAAACTATTTTCTTCAGTACATTTTTCTTCAATTGATTACATCTCTGACTCCTGGTCTTCATTTCAACACCTGATGCTTGGGTTTTAACTGTAAATTCCCCTACAATGCCAAAGAATATTTTCACATAGTCACTGTTGTGAACACAAATAGCTATGACAGAATTAAAAGATGCTACTCCTCCCTCTTTATCTGTTCATTCGGTGCAACATTTTCCGTTTATTCACCATTCGGGCATGGCACCTTAAAAACTACAAGGAAGCACTAGCAGAGAACTACCCCCTCATAAATGTTGTAATTCAGCTTTGGCTTCTTCTAGTTCATCATTTTATGATACAAATGTTATGATCAGTTTAAAGAATTTACAAGATACATGTATGCTATATTTAAAATCCACTAGTCAGTAAGCAATTGTCATTTCTAAAGATAGATGATGTAATGAGAAAGAAGAAGCGAGACAGACAGTTTCAGTCATAAAACGTCATCAAAACCTTTTCAAAATGATCATATGATGAAGTGTGGTAGAACACATAGAGATTTTGTTTACATTACATTAAGCTATCTGATTAGACAGAAGTTATATGTGCTCTCCATGTCAAACAAACAATGACATGTTGTCTCTCTTGACCTCACTGATCAAACAGCTCCACCTCATTGAGTGCTTTAACACCCCACCTTCACACTACAGCAAGGTGTAAAACAGGAATTAATTCTGGCTTCTCATGTAAACAGATATTAAAGTGTGTGTTTGACACACACAACTATAGTGAGTCATGCAAAACCACAGGGTGAAGAACATGCAAGCTGACACACACACACACACACACACACACAAAATCGCCAAAAATAATAATTGGGAATGACTAGGGCCTGATCCACTTTACTGTCTGATTTGAAACAGGATGCAACCCCCATTCAATAAAAAAAAAAATAGCAGACATGGACCTAATGATCCATTTCCGTGGTCATTACCTTTCAGAATCAATGTAGGATTAACTCAAATTATAACCTCTATAATATAAAAAATATAAAATAAAATAATATGTGATATAAAATAGGAAAATTAAACATTCATTAACAGTGACGTGCATAATTTCTGCACTAGCACCACCAAGTGGAATTTCAAAAATAATGTTCCGTGAAAAAATCGCATACAGTCTCCCTGTCCGAATATTTCCATTAATAATGAAAAATGGCACATGAAAATAGTATGTCTAAATTCATAGTATTCATAAAACAGCAGGTGAAAAGTACCACGATGATTTACTACTTCCAGCGAGATTTCTGAAGTGCACGGCCCTGTCCCATATCACACCCTAAACCTAAGGTTAAACCTCGCGAGCACGCTTCTGAACGCTAAAATGACAAATGGGACACTCTAAGTTCTCGTGGACACGCGCACGCGGCGGCCATTACAAGTCCGTAAGACTGCAAGTGCACATGAAGTGTTCCAGTGCAGGCTCGGCAGAAGTGCGCATAGAGGGCGCATAGCAGCCGCAAATGGGGCGTTTGCGAGCATGCTTCTAAAAGCTAAAAAAACGAATGGGACAATCTATGGTCTTGTGGACTTAACGGACGCGCGTATGCGGCGGCCACTGTAAGTCTGCAAGACCGTAAGTGCACATGAAGTTGCCATTTGGGACAGGGCCATTCTTCAAAGCGGAAGTACGCCTATGGGCGAGACTTCCGGTTCATTAGCCGCGATAGGGAAATAGTAACCTATAACAATGTGCAGTAAACAGTAAAAATGTTTGCACTACAAAGTGTGTTCATTATTAAGATAATACATTAAAATAACATGGTAAGACACACCAATTTGCTATATACAAGCAGCAAAATTAGCTGTTTTGTACAGCTACAAATAGCTGGACATGAATGAGACCGGAAGCCAGACCCATAAAATTTACAAATGGCCACGCCCACTCTTACAGGAAAAATAAGATGGGCATCAAATGGAGACTTTACAACCCGCATGAGGCCACAGTAGAAGATTTGTGAATAGCAGTGAAGCAACGCAACCTACACCCATACATAACATGTCAATGACAACATGATGGATGTAGTACCGTACGACTGGAATTTCATTCATACTACTCACATTCATTGAACATATACTTTTTAACAATCGCGAGGTTCTTTACAAATATAGTACCTATTCAGACAGTATGCAAATTCGGACGCAGCTTCAGAGTATGTACTATGATTTAGTTAGCCTATAAAAATGTTATATAAAGTTTGTGTATGTGTTGTATGAATGCAATGCAGACGTTCTTCATCCACCATGTAGCCAGTGTAAAGTTGTCCATTAAATGTGCACTTTGGCCTTTTGGACTAATTTGGGCATACTTATTTAACACACTACTTTTCATTTACTATAGTAGAGAGGTATGCGTGTTCTGACACTAGGGCTGTTTTCAGCCATGTTTCCTAAACACTCCTCCCGTTTTCCCATTGGTCAACAAACTGCCCCATCTGCCACGCCATTGGTTGACTGAGTGTCGCTATTGTGAGCTCAGCATGATGCGTCGAGATTCAGTGTTACACATTTCGACTTTTAATTCAGCCTATAAATGGTTCACTTGCAGTTTTCTCTATGTATTAAGTTGTGTATACATAGATTGAAAAAATTCAATTTTAACAGTGATCACCAATATTGAGACTGCACTGAAAACAGTAGTATGCTATCTACTACAGAACAGCATGAAATATGACAAACATGTACAGTGCAGGATAGTGGAATGAGGGCCCATGCGCATAATGTGAAGACAGCGATGACAACAGAAGCTCATAGTCTCCCCTGATAAGTAAAGAGCGCACTCGAAACTAAGAAACACACTTGTCCACTTAACTGTAAAACTCCTTCGGCCTGCTCTGACATGCTTTCTGAGTCCGGCTCCATTCTGCCTGTTCCAGTGTGTGTGTGTTTGTGTGTGTGTGTGTGAGTTTACCTGGCCTGGTTAGCTTATATGTGTCCAGTAACTGGACACGGGGCAATAATCCGAGCGGCCCTGCCGAGGACGCCCCACAGCGAGAAGAGTCGGGTTGCCTGACCAACGCTAAACACTAGCGTGATAATTACTGCAAGGCACCATCCATCTTTCCTCCACTCATCAGAGGGAGTTGATGGAGGAAACACGGTAAAACATGGCTTTTGTTTCGAAGACAAAAAGTTGGACATTTCAGAAGCTCTGAACCAGTGGTGGAACCATACACAAAACTATTACCAAGACGAAACAGTTATTCATTTATAATTTATTTTTAATTATGATTTATTAGTTTTGACACCATTTTTTGTGGCTCATCATATGAATTAGCTGAAATTCTATACTTTTCTTTGTATTCAAATCTGTAATTTTTTTTTTTATAAACTGTAGGCTAATAGGAGCTTGGCCTACTGGCTCATAAATGACAAAACATATGCAAATGACCAGTCAATGTAGACCAAAAATGATGGTTTCCAGAAAGTATGAATCAGTAGAAGAACCATACGCAAAACTATTACCAAGTCAAGACAGTTATTAATTTATAATTTTATTTTTAATTATGATTTATTAATTTTGACAACAGTTTCTGTGGCTCGCCCAGCTAATTAGCTGAAATTCTATACTTTTTTCCATTTTACTAACATAATAATTCTTAATAAAATGTAGGCCTGGTGGCATTTAAGTTACAAAACAAAAGCAAATGATCGGTCAGTGTAGCTTATTTAAATTATTACAGCATTATTACATAACATAGAGAAAACAAATGAAGATAAATCAGTGAAATAAGAAGAGTGCAATGAAAAAAACTGATAAAAGAGGTTGATAAGGCAAACTGATAAATAATCTGTTATATAACCTATATTTCTTTACACAAAGACATGCAAGTAGATCGTGAACAGATAATTTGCAAGAGACAAAGGTGGAGCCATAAAAATCATGATTTCTTAAAGAACTGCAAGCAAATTGTTATCAAATAACAGTCACTCAATGGAGCATATGTTTAGTGTACAAGAAAATTAACTTTTTCTATAAGTGTATTTCATTTTAGATGCTCACCATGTTCCCTATTTTAAAAAGTCAAGTCGAGTCAAGATCAAGATGTGCAAAATATTTGACTAACTTTTATGTTTACAGTGTTAATGAGCAGCAAACATGTTTTCAAATCTAACCCACATTTACTTTAAGAAATAAGCTAGATGTGAGCCTAAGGATTACGGTGCAGAGCTTTGGGAGTGTTTCTCTTGCTTAAATTTCTCTCTGCTTTAAGTTCCTTTGCTCTAAAATGAATTTGGCAGAACAGTTTTGGCACAGCCTGGTTTGGAGGGTTATGCATGTATAACTTGTGAGTTTCTGAGCAGATTTACAGTGCTTACCTTGCTGCTGTTGAAGATGGAGAACCCTGCAGAGTTTCGAGAAAGAAAGGAAGAGAATTTGTTGAGGAGACAAAATGTACCAAATCACTTCCTGCATTACTTCTGGCCCAGCCCCCTTGAATACACCCCCGCCTAAACAAACAGATGCCAAAAAATGAGGAAAAAAGCCAAAGGCACAGAGAGTGACATTCACGGATTTGTTAATAGTTCAACAAAATCATAACCTGATTTGACTGAATTTGACTGCAGGAAGACCTGGACTGTGTGGACTGAAGGAGAAGAAAATATCTAAAAATCAGATTTAGCCAAAGGGGTTTCTCTTGTTACATATAAGGGCCACACCCAGTCAGTCACAAAGCATTCATGATAATGTCAGGGCTTGCCCATGAAAACAAAACAAATGAATGTAATAGATAAGCCATAGTCATAGCTAAAAGTTATGTCAACTTAAAAAAATGCAGCTAGGCATGCACACTTAATAATGACTGCGTTCGCTCAGACATTCAAAAGAGCACAGGAAATCCAGGGGCTGGACTGTGGTTTCAGTGGTTTATTAAAAACAAGAACCGTGAGGCAAAAAATGTCTGTAACACTGGCTCAAATATCTTGGAACAAGAGGCACGTCTATGTGAAGAAATACACAAATTGCACATCTTCATTTAGAAATTCAAAATGGGAAATTTGATAACTAAACATACAAAATGAAGGGGCGTACTTACGGAAAACACTCTTCCTATACATTTGACAGACTGTGAAACAGAAGTTCATCCTAAACACACAGCCCGTTGAATCACAAGTCATGTGTTACCAAACTGAAGTGAACAACAGCATGCAGTTTACCTATTCATTTCAATAGCCTAGGACATTGTGCTACAAGACACTTCTGCAAAACTTTGACATTTAAGAAAATTAAGTCTAAGCCTTAAAGGGATAGTTCACCCAAAAATGTTGCTCTAAACCCTTAAGACCTTTGTTCATCTTTGAAACACAAAACAATATATTTTTGATTAAAAAAAATACAATGCATGTGCGTGCTGCTGCTGTTTTCGAATAGATTTCACACACACAGAAATGAAGCATTGTTCAATAAAAATTGTTGTTTTGTGTACAAATATTCTCGTAGCTTCTAAAATTATAGTTGAACCACTGATGTCACATGGATTTTAATAATGTTCTTACTGTTTCTTGGTCTGGGAACATTTCTGTCACATTGCTGTCTATGAGAGAAAGCTCTTGGATTTCATTAAAAAAATCTTAATGTGTTCTTAATGAGTCTTACAGGTTTGTAACAACATGAGGGCGAGTAATTAATGACAGCATTTTCATTTTTGGGTGAACTATCCCTTTAAAGCAGCACTATGTAACGTTTGGCGCTCTAGCGGTTAATAAACAGAACTGCACACATCCCGCGGAAGAACATTCCAACCGGAGCTACTTCTCTAAGTTTATGTCTATGGCGATTCAAGTCAAGTCAAGTCACCTTTATTTATATAGCGCTTTTAACAATACAGATTGTGTCAAAGCAACTGAACAGCATTAATTAGGAAAATAGTGTCAATAATGCAAAATGACAATAGTAAACACAAATTTTTCAGTTAAAGACAGTTCATCATTGAATTCAGTGATGTCAACATCCAGCTCAGTTTAAATAGTATCTTTGCAATCAAGTCAACGGTATCGCTGGAAATGAAGTGTCCCCAACTAAGCAAGCCAGAGGCGACAGCGGCAAGGAACCAAAACTCCATCGGTGACAGAATGGAGAAAAACCTTGGGAGAAACCAGGCTCAGTCAGATTCACGCAGGTATGTGTTACTCCGCAGCGGTGACGACCCGACCAGGCTACAATAGTCCAAATATAAGTACTTATAAGTGTACCGTAGTGATTCGGAATAAGACAGAAACGCGGTTTGGAAGATGAATTCATGATGTACTCGCTCATTATATACATTTAGCAAATTTTGAACAGAAAAAGTTACATAGTGTTGCTTTAACGTAATTTACAAACTTTGTCACTTCAAACCATTGATTATAAACCATTATATACACACAAAAACAGTTTGTTTCAAACGTTTATGTAATGTCACTTTCTTCAGTGGAACACAAAATTACTTTCTTTTTCAGGCAAACTGTTGTTTTAAGGTTAATCATAACATACACCCAACAGCCATGCAAAAAAACAAAAACAAATGAACAATAGTTTAGTCAAACTTTTTATTTTTCCAAGTCAAAAAACAAACAAAACATAGATACAGAGAATGAAGTATCAGATTGATTTCTATACAGTGGCAATTTATCTTAATTTAAATTTTCCTTTCCCCATAAACCCGACCCGGTTATTACTCAAACTCAAGAAAACCCTGTCTTTTCCATTTATGCTTTCACGCACGCACGCACACACACACACACACGCGCGCAAACTTACTGGGAGCCTGGGTATAGAGTATTAACTGGACTTGTTTGAAACATCCATGAAACTGAAGGCAAACAAGGGCATTAAAGAGACTGTCAGAACCGCTCTCCCTAAGGCCTTAAACCTAAAGCTGAAATATGAAAGAGCATCAAAGATTTTTACAAGTCAACAAAACCTCCAGCAACTACTACTGTCCAAATGGAAGAGTAAGTTGAGGTAACCACAGTCGACACTTGCGTTCAAGTTTTAAAAAGGTAACACTCAAAAAGATCTAAATGCCTCTAACGCCCGAGTAAAATCAGTCTCTGTCGCCCTCTACTGTTTGAGCACAAGATGATTCAGAATCAGCTGACGAAATTTAGATATGAAACGGTGCATATTCGAAAGGAAACAAACCAAACTGCACCTTTCTCCCCTCCCCAAGCACTCAATCCAAAAAGCAAAGCTGACCCAACGACAATGAAGCCAGCGCAAGGAAAAGTGTAAAATAAATGCTTTTCCTCAGTAAATCACACAATAGATTATCAATTGTAATGATGCATATATCAGAAAAAAAACAATTATACACTTATTATATTAAAGGGTTGAGTGCCGAGGACAAGGAAGGACTCATTAGATTTGAACCTAGGTGGTTTTAAAAAAACAACAACAAAAAAAAAGTTAACATGGTGCATCTTATGTAAAGCTGGGCTCCAGCCACACTCAGGATAAAAGAAAAATAAAACCAAAAAGGTCACAATTTCACACTCTGTGCACTCAGAGGTACAAGACAGCTGGTTACCTTTTTTTTTTTTTTTGCAGTTTTTTAAAATTGTAAATTACTGGGCAGATGCTGGTGAAGGATAAGGCTTGCATCTTTTGGGGACAATAGACTAGAAAATTGATGCCTCAAATAAAGCATCTGTTCCCTCTCTCTGATTCTTAAAGAGGGCAATCACGACAACACTTTTACCCATGTCATGGGCTGGCATACATAGACTACAGTATTACAAGACATTTTTCTTCTGCACAATGTGTGTCAGCTTCAACACGCTTCTAATAAACAGCCACTTTGAACCTCCTTGCTTCTTTAGAAATAACATTTTTCATAAGTGAACTCAAATTAGACCGAAAATCAACATTAATATTTAAACAGTTCTCAGTTCAGATCTGGAATAAAGAATCTAAACTGGGAGCAAGCGCTTATTTACACTGGGGAAGAAACTAAAAGCTGTAAAATGTGAGAAAGGTCAGTTTCTCCCCCTTTCTATTTACGTTATAGATATTTTAAGGTTTCATTTGAAACTTTTCACATACAATCCACTGTTTTCTGTTTTGAAGGCTTTTGGCAATACTTCTTAAATTTCCTTTACATCCAACACTGAATTTTTGAGAAAAAGTAAGGGAGGCAGAAATGACTGGATGGAAAGAGGAGGACAATGCATGATCTTTCTCCTTCAAAAGCAGTCAATCTCCTGCATCTTTCCACCAACTTTGAGAAATGGTTCTCCCTCTAAACTTAGAGTGACCAAAGCGGTCTATAAAAAGGCAGCCTTGTTTGGCTTGTAGTTCAAACCTCTAACCTAACAGATGCAACCACTGAAGCCTGTTTAGTGAGGCTATTTAAGAACAATTCATTAAGTCCAAAAGAGAAAAATCAAAAAGAAGGGTGTCACATGTGGGATCCCAGGTTCCTTAGCCTTCCCTGTAAATGACAACAACCCCAGCTGGGTGGCTTTCCTTCAGTCTTTATCCCAGGGTCAGAGTGCCCATAAGGGAAGTAGGACAAACCCCGGCACCAACCATCTTTAATTATTTTCTTCATCGCTGTCATCAGGGCTGATGGCTGGGCTGTAGGTTGGAGAGGTGGGGCTGTAGCCGGGAGAAGTGGGGCTGTAGGTGGAGCCCTTCGGACTAGTTGGAGAGTAGGTAGGGGATGTGGGTGAGTATTTTGGAGACGTTGGAGAGTATGTCGGAGAGGTGGGGGAATATTTGGGGCTGGTTGGGGTGTAGGTAGGAGAGGTTGGAGAATAAGTAGGGGAAGTGGGGCTGTACTTGGGAGTAGTTGGGGAGTAGGTTGGAGAAGTGGGACTGTATTTGGGCGAAGTGGGAGAGTACTTTGGAGGGAGGTGGGGGAGTAGGATGGAGAACTTGGGCTGTAAGAAGGCGAGCTTGGGGTGTAGGTGGGAGACTGCGGGGTGTACCGCGGACTGGACGGAGAGTAGGACGGCGAAGTTGGGGAGTAAGAAGGAGATGTGGGGGAGTAATTGGGACTGGTTGGGGTATAATTGGGAGAGGTGGGGGAGTAGGAAGGTGAGGTGGGGCTGTAAGATGGAGAGGTCGGAGAGTAACTTGGTGAGGTGGGTGTGAAGTTGGGCGAAGTGGGACTGTAGCTCGGAGATGTTGGGGAATGGGGAATATTTGGGGCTGGTTGGGGTGTAGGTAGGAGAAGTTGGAGAATAAGTAGGGGAAGTGGGGCTGTACTTGGGCGTAGTTGGGGAGTAGGTTGGAGAAGTGGGACTGTATTTGGGCGAAGTGGGCGAGTACTTCGGGGAAGTGGGGGAATATTTGGGGGATGTTGGGGTATATTCGGGAGAGCTGGGACTGTAGGAGGGGGAGGTGGGAGTGTATTTTGGAGAGGTGGGGGAGTAGGATGGAGAGCTTGGGCTGTAAGAGGGCGAGCTTGGGGTGTAGGTGGGAGACTGTGGGGTGTAACGTGGACTGGATGGAGAGTAGGACGGCGAAGTTGGGGAGTAAGAAGGAGATGTGGGGGAATAATTCGGACTGGTTGGGGTGTAATTGGGAGAGGTGGGAGAGTAGGAAGGTGAGGTGGGGCTGTAGGATGGAGAGGTCGGAGAGTAACTTGGCGAGGTGGGTGTGTAGTTGGGCGAAGTGGGACTGTAGCTCGGAGATGTTGAGGAATAGGATGGGGAGGTTGGAGAGTAGCTTGGAGAGGTGGGAGAGTAAGACGGGGAGGTCGGGGAATAAGATGGAGAAGTTGGGGAATAAGACGGAGACGTGGGGCTGTAACTCGGTGAGGTTGGGCTATAACTGGGGGACGTTGGGCTATAGCTGGGGGATGTTGGCGAGTAGGATGGTGAAGTCGGGGAGTAAGACGGTGAAGTCGGAGAGTAAGAAGGTGAAGTCGGAGAGTAGCTTGGAGATGTTGGAGAATAAGACGGCGAAGTTGGAGAGTAGGAGGGTGATGTGGGAGAGTAGGACGGAGATGTGGGGCTGTAGTTTGGACTGGTGGGAGAATAAGATGGCGAAGTCGGAGAGTATGATGGAGAGGTTGGAGAGTAACCAGGGCTCTGTGGGGTGTATCCACCAGGAGAACGAGGCTCGTAGGCAGGAGAAGTTGGAGAGTAATTTGGAGACAAGGCTCCTGATGAGAAAAACAAAGGAGAAAAAAACAATTGCATTAGTAGCTGTTTGGTTTGCAATCTACTAAATTACAACCAAGTAAACGAAGACTATTATTCTTAAAAACAGAACAAGACTAAAATAGACAGTAAAGAGACCTGGTGAGGGGATATAAGGGCTAGCTGGTCCAGGGGATCCAGGAGAACCAGGAGTAGGAGACCAGGCAGGAGAATAACCAGGTGAGAAGCCGCTGGCATCAGACGCAGCGCTGGGAGAGAAGCCTGCAGCACCTGGTGTCATTCCGCTTCCTGTACGGGAAAAAAAGAACAGGGCATGAAATGGAATAATGTAAACATACACAAGATAATGCACTGTAAATATGGGTGGCAGTAAAACAAAACCGTTTGTAGTATTTCTTCACTCACCAACACTGGGAGACCAAGCACCATATGCAGGAGTCGCTCCAGTGTTCCAGGGAGTCATGGCAGGAGACATGCCACTCATGGGGCTGGGGGCAGAGCCAAAGAACATACCCGTGGCTGTGGTGGAAAAAGCAATGATTAACCACAGGTTTAAATTTGGGGACAGAGTAGAAGCCTTTAAGCATTCAAAAAAATAAGTTAGACTTACGTCCTGCAACACTGATACCAGGGATGTTGGTGGGAATCTCCATACCATACTTGCACTTTTCAGCATCCAACAGCAGATCAAAGCAACCAGTGCCTGCAGGAGCCAGCTGCCCCAGCATGATATTCTCAGACACTCCTTTCATTGGGTCACATTCACCATGAGATGAGGCTTCCATCAACACATCCACCTACAGAAGAGCGAGGGATAACATTTAAGACTTCTTTACAAGAACAACCACAATACCATTTTAAAACATTAAACAGAGCCTCACCGTCTCTTCAAAAGAGCACTTCATTAGCGGTCCAGTGTCCTGCCTGTTGATACCGTGACGAGTGATGGCCATCAAGTGACCCCTGCAGGTCATCGTGTCACACAGCAAGGCAAGATGGCGGTAGTTAACGTAAGAACCGTCGAAAGAGATGACGTGGTATAACTCTCTTTCCAGAGCCTTACGCACAGCCTCAATACCAAGAACCTGCAGTTGGAAGAGCAGACATTTCTGAATTTGATCTGACGACCTAATAGGTTCCGATCTTTAGACAAGTTTTAAACAATTCTTACAGTGAAAATCTCCACAATGTCATTGGAGGTGGTTCTGACAGGGTCCACATCCTTCTCACTGAGGACCCTCATGAGGCTGACTCCATCAGTTTCCAGGATCCACTCTTGCAAAGCTTTAAACTCTCCCTCTTCTGTGATGATGATTTTCTTCTTGTTGTCAGTCTGTGGTAGATGCATGTACACCTACAAAGGCGGGAGAAATTAAACTCCAATCTCAGGGCCATCTGTGTCCACAAAACTTTAAGGTGTCCTATTAGCTTCTTTTTGTTTCAGGAGCATGCCAGTTATCACTCCCCATTACTCAGGAGCATGTAAGTGTCATGTGCCTTTTTGGACGAACCTGCACTGCCACATGGGCTTTCAGATTTACTGAAGTGAAATTAAATACTGTCAAAAGATGGAAGAAAAAAATACCTTGCTGATCTGCTCAATGCCTTGCAGTGTCATGTCTGTCAGCATGTTGGATTCAATGCAGCGAAGGAAGACATCATCATCCATCTTATCCACTACCTCCTCATCCTGGACACAAGATTCAACATTTACGATTCAACATTGAGAGAAAAGAGGCCAGTTACGTACTCGCCAGCAAAGATTAAAATTACAATGAATTACCTCTTGAAACTTGTTCTCGTCACTATTCATGATGCGGATTCGCAAAACCAGTTTCTCAGCATTGTCATCATTGAAGATGCAATTAAGATCATCACCAAATCCTAGGAGACAAAGATTAGAGTTAGAAAACGATGTAACACCTCAGCATCCATTCCTTTTGCCATTTAAAGTGTTGTATCAACATGCATTTAGGCTATTCAATGATAATCTCAAGCCCACCTGCATTGATCTTCTCTGCGATCTGCTCCATAGTCAGCTTACGGTCAGTCATGTGTTTGCGGTCAAGCTCGATACGCAGCAGCCAGGGTGAAATGCGGGTCACGTCGAAGTCAGGCATCTCATAGTACACGTTGACCCACTCCTGATCCTCAGTCACCACAGTGTTCTGTGGGTTAGGGTCATAATAAATGGCTGTGTTGGCAGTGACCTTGCGCAGGGTTGTGTGCTCCAACCGACACAGGATATCTTTGGCCCTCTCTGCATCACGGGCCGCTTGGCCCAGGAGAAAGACGGTCAAGGAGGGGGTCTTGGGTCGCTTGGAGATGTTGATAAGCTCTTTGAGTCGAGGCACACCGAGAGTGACGTTTTTGGCGGACACACCGGCGTAGTGGAATGTGTTCAGGGTCATCTGAGTAGCAGGCTCTCCCAGAGACTGGGCAGCAAGAGCACCTACCATCTCACCAGGGTGAGCCTGAGGAAAACAAAGAAAGTGTCCAGCTTCAGACAATGACAAAACTAGATTGCTCCCTATTTTCTAATTTTTTTCAGGTGCAGTAACTAAGCAAGCCTTACTTACAATGGACTGGTTAAATTTGGTCTCTATCTCTCCTAGCAGCCATTCAAAAGCCTCTGTGCTAAGACGGAACTCCTCAGTCATTCGCTTGGAGCACAGGGTGGAGCGCAGGTGGATGTTGAACAGCAGAGTGGCATTCTCCTGGGCTTGCCTGCTTAGCTGGTCTTCACCATTTACAATCACCAGCTTCTTACTCAACTCATGAACTCCTGCATAAAAAAAATAGAGCAAATATCCATGTGTTATTACAACGCAACACTTGAAGCTCACTCCAATAATAAGACAATAAACGGTTGGTGCCACCACTATAATGACAAGGTAAAACAGCCATATCGGTTAGGGCTACATAAAATTGACATCTCTTAAAGGTGCAGATTTGTCAAGCGCATGAGTTTGGCATCATGCCTTCAGTCAACACGCATGCAAAGATGTAAAGGTGGCCTTTATAATCAGCTTGCACAGGTCTGCCACAAGACAGTGGTAAGCTTCAGGGATCAGTCGTCAGCAGGCTTTATTTAGCTACCACAAGCAGGAGTCTTTATTTAGCTGGCAGACCCGCTCAAATGCAGACAGCCTTAAGTCAGTTAAAGCAGTGTATATAGCGTGCACGTCAAAATAAACGTTAATAAAACCAGTCAGTTAAAAGATACATAAATAAAATCTCTTTACAGGCTCAAAGTACAAAACCCACCTTCCACTACTCGTACTGGATTGAGGTCAGTTGGTGTTCGAGGATTGATGCGGAAAATCTTCTGAGCATTCCAGATCATTCTGGCCAAATTGCACGGTAGTACCACCTATGGAAAACATGGTTTGGGTTTATGACATTCTACAGAAGTGTGCAAATATAGTGATATTCATGCTTGATACAGTTGTAAAAAGAATGAGGACAATCCCAACCAAAGGGCATATGGATATTGATGGCACTCTTAAGGGTCAGACCTTGCTGTCGCCTGTGGGGAAAATGGCCCTCAAGATCTCTCGGTCTTCCTTCATCTTCTCAAACTCTCTCTCTAGAGCACTCTGGACATGGGCATTGGTCATCAGATCTTTCACCACATCTTCCTGTAGAGTGCGGCGGAGAGCTCGGTCATTGGTGTAGTCAAACTTGAACCTGTGCAATTAAAGAAAGAGGCAGAAAGTTAAATCAATGACGTTAGTCAGTTGAGCTCTGAGCTGATGATCAACAATGACCTGAGATGACTTGAAAATAGGGTTGGGTATTGTTTGGGTTCTTTACGATACCGGTGCCAAATCGATACTTTTAAAACGGTACCGGTGCCTAAACGGTGCCTGAACCGATACTTAAAAATAATAAAATAAAATAAATAAATACCCAAAATAGGATGGATTGGCCATTATTGAGCGCTATAAACACATTTAATGTCCGATTCATTCATACTGGACGCCAGAGGGCGCCTGGCAGAACCTCCACATGTGCATCGCAGAAGGAATAGGTCTCAGGAAATCCCTATACTCTTTGCTAATATGGACAAAGGCATTGCTATCGCTGTAACCGAGTAAACAGAAGATATAAATGTTTTGAATGATAAAACAAAGACAAACACTCGACTGCGACAATGTATAGTTTCTGTTATTCAAGCCATCTTTGGTATTTTCATCATAATTAAGTACATTTATAATCCATTGCTAATCGACAGTCTTTTTGCCATATGCTTTTTACAGTATAGAACATTTTCTACCTCATTCTGTGACAAGAAGCCACATCAGATCACAAAACGTTTTGAATGATGAAACATGAAGACAATAAACACTCGACTGCAACAATATGCATTTTATCTGTGTTCTTCAAGCCATCTCGGTATTTTCATAATAATTATGTATATTTATAATCCAATGCTAATTGACATAGCCTTTTTCTACAGTATACAATATATTTTCTGCCTCATTCTGTGATAAGAAGCAGCATTAGATCACAAAAGGAAGTTATTTTAAACACTTGACTGATGTTGTGGACCGGAGTAAGAACAGGTTATGATGTTCTCTTTTGTTGGACAGCAGGTTTAGAAACGCTTCTCATTGCAAGTCATTACAAGGGAAGTTTAGCTTTAGTAGGGTGACCATATTTTAGTTTTACAAAAAAAGGACAGTAGGGGGCAGGTTCGTGGGCAGGGCTTCGCCTAACAGTGTAAGTAGCAAGGTTTTTTTTTGTTTGTTTGCTTTTGTTTTTATAATAAATAAAAATAAAACGAGTAGAAAGAATAGAAAAATAGGGAATGCTAGTGTTAAAGCGTCATTTTTAAATAAAAATAAAAAGTCAATAGAACAGAAAAAGAATATAAATGGAAGTGTTAGAAGGTCATTATTTATAATAAATAAAAAGAAAATAAGTAGAAAGAATAGAGAATGCTAGTGTTAGAGGCTTTTTTCTTTTTAAATAAAACAAGTAGTTAGAATATAAATAGAATAGAGAGTGCAAATGTTAGAGGGTCAATTTTTTAAATAAAAAATAAGCAGATAAAATTTGAATTAGCATTATAATAGAGAGTGCTAGAGTTAGAGGGTCAAATGAAGATGAAAGAGATGTGTTTTCAGCTG